TTGTTCAAGTCTCAATCAACTGGCTCATTATTTCTTACAGCATAGTAATATTTCATCACAATCATGTATCACAACTTGTTTAGCCATCTCCCAATTGATGGTTATTTCCTCAGTTTCTAGTTCTTTGCCACCACAAACAGAGCTGCTATAAACATTTTAGAATATATAGGTTCTTTTCCTTTTTCTCTAAGCATTTTTGGAAATAGACCTAGTAAAGGTATTAATGTGTACTGATGTAACCATTCTGGAAAACAATCCAGAGTTATGTAAATACAGTGACTAAAACTTTCATACTCTCTGACCACATATTCCACTTCTAGTAACACGCCCCAAGGAGGTCAATGACAAAAAGAAAGGCCCCAAATACATCAAAATATTTATAGTGGCACTTTTTGTGGTAGCAAAGAATTAGATACTCAAAAGATGACCATCAATTAGGAAGTAGCTAAACAAATTATGTTACATAAATGTAATAAAATAATACTGTGCAGTAAGAAAGGAAAAATAAGATGAATATGAGGAAGCATGGAAAAACATATGAATGAGTACGAAGTGAAATAAGCAGAAACAAGAAAATATATGTACAAGGACTATGGCTTTGTAAATGGCAAGTGTAATAAAAAGCAGTCCAGACCAAATGTTGCATTATTATGACCAAGCTTAGCCACAAAGAAGCGCTATGAGAAGGCACCTTCCCCTACCCCTGGCCTATGCAAGAGGTCATGGGTGTGGAATATTGAATATAATATTTGAGCAAAAACATGGAGACAGGAAACAAGAGGAAAACTAGGGACTGAGAGTTTAAGACCTATCTTGGAGACCTTTCCTGCCTCTAACCCTTTCTCTGTTTCCCTTTGCTCTACTGTGAGTTTAACAAAAAGCCTACGGTTCTACGTAGCTAGATTTGTATTTAAAGAATGTTTTCCTTTGGAAAACATCCTCACAACTCAGAATGCTATAAAAACAGTTCCAACAACTTTCCAAAGAAGGATGGAAGACTAGCCTAGGCAATCTACAACTATTTCCCACCAAGTGCTAGGGGTCTGGAAATATAGCCGATTTATCCCTGTATGCTTCTCACTGAGGAAGCCCTGTTTATTTCAGCCTACATTTTCGCAACATGGTGGTACCTATCAGCAAAGCTGATTTAGACTTAGGCCTCCATGTCTGCCACCTCCCTCCTTCCTTCCCCATCTCCCTTGGGAATTGTGTGAAGTCAAAAATTTCCAACAAGGCTCAGGTGGCTCTGTCCCACATCAATACTAAATAAGACCTGAAGCTCAAATACAAACTTAACATTGCTGCCCCTCACAACATACACAGTAACTACCACAACGTAAATGGAAAGAACAACAGGCACGCACGCACACATATACACAAATAAATAATGAAAGTATAAAGATAAAGCAAGATTCAAATGAGCTATTAGAAGACACTCCCAACCTACCCCCTTGTGGAGGTCGGAGGTCCACAGGTGTTATACATTGCAGATTATTTGCAGACTTTTTCAACATATTGATCTAGTGTGCTGACATTTTTTTCCCCTCTAAAAAAATACTATATGTACTATAGGATGGCTCTCAGGGAGGGAGAGGAAGGAGGATATATGGGATACTATGGTGATGTAAGAAACAGTACATATCAATAAAAATTTATTAAAGTATAAAAAAATAACAAAATAACAAAAACACCCCACAGCTTCTCCCCTCTCACTAGCACTGCCCCTCTCTCCTATCACACCTCTTTGAGACAGTTTCATAGCTAGGAGACTCAGATCCAACTTCCCTGTGTTACAGAGAAAAATGTAGGTCATAGTAGTCAAGTGACTTGCCCAAGGTCATAAAATAATATATCTAGAGAGGGCCTTAGGGATCATCTAGTCCAACTGCCTAGTTGTACAGATAAGAAAATTAAAGTCTCAAAAGGAAAAGTAATATATCCAAGGTCACACCTAGTAAATGGCAAAGTTGGGATTTGAACCTAAATTCTTTGACTCTGAATCCTAGTAGAATATAATCCTTAAGGGCAGAGATTGTTTTTTGACATTTCTCCTAACATAGGATGTTTCACATGCTTGCTGGGTTGCAATCTTTCCACCAGACCCTGATACCTCCTCAGTCAGTTAGTGGTCAGCAGCACTACCTCTCCAAAGAGGGTGTCCTGCCTTCATCCAGTGATGCTTTCAGTATACCAGGCTTGCCCTTTGGTGGCTTTTTTTTTCCACTTTAAGGTTTCTCCTGATGTTCACTTTAGTCCAATTTCATTGACATAAAAATGTTGGGCATGGGAGATGGGGAGTGCTATAGTGGAGATGGGGAGTGTCTATAGTGTGCTTTGTCCCATGGCTTCTCCATTGCTAGAATGAGATTGGGTGGGAGGAGACTAGAGAGGGTGTAGCTTGCCAGTCTATCTAGACTGAAACTACCTCTTGATGACGGAAATGTGGAAGAGCTGGAGAGTAAAAAAAAAAAAATCCAAGATTTGGTTAATAAATTATTCTGACATAAATTTAAAAGTAGAACTGAAAAGGTAGCCAAAAACTGCTGCCATACCTACAAAGGCTTAAGGATTAGACTAAGCACCACTACCAGGAAAACAAATGAATGAGTGGACATAAGCAAATGAATTTGTTCTAAGAAAAGATGTGTGTGTGGTTTGGAAAGGAATAAGATACTCTCACTCTTAGGCTTTCCCATCCCTTCAGATCCTCTAACAAGAAAACCATCCTAAACCAAATGCAAGTGAGGAGAAAATAAAAGGGAAAGTCATCAGCCCATGTTCTGTTGGATTGGGTTCTGTCTCCCTTCCTGAAATTATATGTGGGAATGTATATCCACAAAAACTGAGTGGAGCTCAGCTTGATTTGTCTCCAGACTACCTTTTAAACTAGTGGCAAAGTAGATAGAGTGCCAGGCCTGGAGTCAGGAAAGACTTATCTTCTTGAGTTCAAATCTGGCCTCAGACACTTAGTAGCTGTGTGACTCTGGGAAAGTCACTTAACCCTGTTTGCCTCAGTTTTCTCATCTGTAAAATGAGCTGGAGAAGGAAATGGCACATCACTCTAGTGTCTTTGCCAAGAAAACCCCAAATGGAGTTACAAAGACTCTGAAACAACTGCACAATAACAATCCTTTTCCAGACTTAGTTCAGTATTGAACTCAGGAAGACCTGGGTTCAAATCTTGTCTTTGACAACTCCTAGCTCAGGGACCAACAGTAAGTCCTTTCCGAGCCTCAGTTTTCTCATCTGTAAAATAGGGGAAATAATATGTATAGTTCCTGCCTTATAGCGTTGTTACGAAGCTCAAATGAAATGATGTGTGTAAAGCATTTGGCTAACTTTTAAGTGCTCAGTAATGTCAGTTGTTATTTCACATTACTCCCCTAGGTATACAGGCCTATTTGGTGCTGCCAGAACTCAGCATATTTTGCATGAACTGAAATCTACTGTGCCTAGAATATACTCCATCCATCCTCTTAGAATCTTTAGCTTCCTCCAAGAAGCAGCTTAGGTACCACTTTCTATTGGAGGCTTTTTTTTTTTTTAAGGCTGGCCCTGAGGTCACAATTTTTATGACTTCAAAGCTCTATTTTTGGCAACTTCTTTTTCTCCCACCAGTCCCGATTTCTCTTCCACACAACCCACTCTCTCTCTCTCCTGTCTCACTGTAGCTAACCTAGAATGACTGCTAGGGTCTAATGGAAAGCTTGTATTTAAAAAGTGAAAGTATTAATGACTGAAACGACAGGCTGGGCTATATTTAGGCAGAATAGTCCTGCCTATGGTACCAATGACAATCATAGGCACCTAACTCTTTCTGGCCTCATAAGATATAGAACTGAAGAGAACATACATTTGGTCTCTAATCTTAGAGACTACTATAGCCCAGGAATTCTTGACCTGGGATCCCTGAATTTTATGTATGTATGTATGTATGTATGTATGTGTACACACTGTATTTCAACATAGGTAATTAGTTTCCTTTGTAGTCCTCTTTATTTCACGCATTTAAAATCACTATTCTGAGAAGGGGTCCATAGGCTCCACCAGACTGCCAAAGGGGTCCATGAGTCACATAAAAATTTAAGGACATTCTCCCCCCATTAAGCTCAACCTTTTTATTTTACAGATGAGGCCCAGAGAGGTTGAATAACTTTCTCATTCATTGTGAATGGCAACACCATGGCCAAACCCAGGTCCTTTGATTCCAAAATCAGGGCTCTTGACTCCCTCGATCTAACACTGTCTAATGGAAAACTCACATTTTTATAGCACTTTAAAGTTTACACACTTTCCTCACAGCAACCAAGTGAGATAGTAAATTAGCTGAAATAGTCAGCAGGGCTAGGATTTCGACAAAGGGCTCCTGACTTTCAGAGCACGCTTAACACCCACACCCTGTGGAACTCAAACCAATCAAATCTAAAAACATGGCAAGTTTCCTGGATTGTGCAAGGAGCAGTAACAGTCTCTGGCACCAAAGAGCACCAGGGAGCACCCACTCCCTACTCGGTGTCCCCAAAAGCTTGTTGCCTGCTTCAGATCCCAGGGAGAGCAGTACGGCACCTCCCAGCCACCTCGCCTGCCCGGCGGCACCCACTTCTGCCTGCTCCACCCATTCTGCGGGGAAACACTTGAGGCCCAGCCCCAAAGAGTACCGCCAAGACGGTCAAGGGCTCCGGAGGAGCCTCCCAGACCCAGATTAAGATGAGATGGGGGGCGGAGTCTTGAACCGAGGGTACGCAGCTCTCCCTCGTGATCCCCAGTTTCACTGTTCCCCAGCCAGGAGGCTCTGCCTGGCCCTTGGGGGAGCGAGGAGCCCTCCCCGGGAACACACTGACTGATCCCGAGGCCAAGTCCCCAAATGGGTCTGGGGAAGCCCACCCGAGAGGTGTTCAGGGAACAGGATAGAACACCAGTCAGCCAGCGGTAGTCACCCCAGGGCCACTCCCTGCTAGTCCTGCCCGCAGCCCAAGAGACCACCCCAGGGGTTTCCTTACCGCAGCGGCGGCGCAGCAGCCTCTCACCAGTCTGCCCTTTCTGAGCTCAGACCCACTCTGCGGACGGGGCAGTTGTCATATATTGACTGTACTGGGCAGGGCCAGGCTGGGCTGGGCTGGGTTGGGCTAGTCCGCCCAGCTTTGGGGTGGAGACAGTGCCAGTTCCAAGCTGTTCCTCCCGCCCTTCCCTACCAGCCAGGAAATTTTATTCCCCTGGCTAGTTAACACCTGGCAATGAGTTACTGGACACCAGATCTGCCCTCCCACTCCCCACCTCCGGCCCAGAGTAGCCTCTCCGGACTCAACCCTGAGGCTACTTGCTCAGAAACTCCTGCCCAGGCGCCACAGAGGCCGGGTTGTGTCTGATGTAGTGGAAAGGGCGATGGGCTTGAACCAAAAGGTGTGTATTCAAAGCTCCACTACACAGTTTACTACCTGCTGGCCTTGGGTCTCTGCCGTACAATTTCCTCCTCTGTAAAACAGAGGAGTTGTACTTAATGGTCTCTAAAGTTGGTTCCAAGGCTTGACGTTGGGGTCCGCTAGTTAGGATTCCCTGGGGCTCACACGCCCCCTCACCTAGTTTAGACGTTACGTTCTGGTAGTATAAGATAATTAGGGGCGTATTCATTTAGAGGAGCTCCAGCTTCCGCCGCGTCCTCCAGCCAGGAAGCAAATCCCGTCCCCACCTACGTTAGGAAGCCACATGGTTGGTTTGGGTTTCAAACTCAGTTTTATTTCAACTTCAACTTCACAAATTGTCCTGTCACCCAAACTACTAATGAAAAGTCGAGGTATGTATAGCAAGCAGCCAGTCTAAAGGAGTTGGACCTAAGCAGAAAAACCAGGATTTTAATTCAGATTCTGCAACTTACTGAGTGACTTTCCCCAAATCATTCTAAAAAAAAATTTTTTTTTTCTCTTTGCCTCCGTTTCGTCACCTGTAAAGTGAAGGAGGCGGATGAACTTGATCCCTAAAGTTCCGTCAAATTCTAAACATTTTGTAAGTCTAAGTAAACAAAACTACCTTAATTTACAGGGAAGGAGAGAATTACTGCTTCCTGCAGGATCAGGAGACACCAACGAATCCTTGTGCCTCTTTGATAGACTGTAAGTTCACTAGCTCGGGTTCGAATTCCCGTCTGTTACTAACTGTTAACCTCTGTAACCTTGGTGCAAGTCACTTCATGTTTTCAGTCTTCAGCTTTCTCACACGTAAAAGGAGGCCTTTAGACAAATGGATCTTCTAAATCTTCAGATCCTCTAAACTGCTGATACAGGCTGAAGGGAAGAGCTTTGAGTGTGTTTTTCCTCCACTGGAAATTATAGTTTCTCTTCCAAGGGAGGCATAATTTAATTCATTCCGAGTAGTTTCACTGAGGTAACCAAACACAACACTGACATAAGATCTGAAAAGTGGAAGTGACAGGGAGAGAAAAGAACATAAACAAAGTGAGAACAGTAGCAAATTTCAAGTCTCTTTTTTAAAAAAATACATTTAAAGCATTTCCATTAAACATGACTTAGAAGTTAGAGTTCTCTCCTCCAGGGAAATGAAAACGCCGAAGGATGCAGATGCCTTTGTAAATAGTGCTGTCAGCTGGTGACAGACTCAGGAAGAGAACCCCAAAGTTTTCTCTAGAGACCTTGTCTTTTTTGCTTAGTAAAAAGAACACTGAACTTGGAGCCAGGAGACCAAGCAAGGTTCATGTCCTGGCTCTGACATTTACTATCTTTGTGACTCTGGGAAAGTCACTCCAACTCTGAATCCTTAATGTACTCATCTATCAAATTAGAACAATAATATTAGCACTACCACTGGTTGTCAAGGGGAAAGTTTTTTGTAAATCTAAAATACCATAGAAATGAAAGCTAAAATTAATAATAAAGGCATTCAAGAATGACTGTCCTTTGATTATATGGATTTTGGAGAGCTGGAAAGGACTTTAGAGCCGCATTTCCCAAAGGAAGAAGCAGAGACTCAATGGTTTATGCAAAGTCACATGGCTAATAAGTGGCAAGAGCCAGGACTATAAGCCAAATCCTTGCTTCCTTTCACTGAGCAAAATTCAAATGCTTTATGAATATTATCAAGTGACTTACCCAGGGTCATGCAGCTAGTAAATCTCTGAGGCTGGATTTGAATTTAGGTCTTCTTGACTCTGGACCCAATGTTCTATCGATTGCTTCTAAGTGATAGGATGCTACATTGCTAGTTGAAGGGGCTGGGATGGTTGTGTACACCAAAGACAATGGTACTGGGGCCCCAGTGGTCAGCTGAGTGGTTGGCTGCACTAACCCTACCCAACCACTTCTAGTGCCTTCCCATTAAGATTACCAGCTAGTTATGGAAGTGGATAGAGTACCAGGTCTGTAGTCAGGAAGACTCATCTGAGTTCAAATCTGGTCTCAGACTGGCTGTGTGACCCCGAGCAAGTCACTTAACCCTGTTTGCCTCAGTTTCCTCATCTGTAAAACGAGCTGGAGAAGGAAATGGCAAACCACTCCAGTATCTTTGCCAAGAGAACCCCAAATAGGCTCATAAAGAGTCAGACATGATTAAAAAGGACAGAACACCTATCTGTACCTAGTTGTTTGCAAGTTGTCTCTACCATTAGAATGTGATCTCTGTGCAGGCAGGGACCATGTTTTGCCTTTTTTTGTATCCCCAGAAATTAGTACTGTGTATGGCATATGATAAATGCTTAATAACTATTTGTTGACTGATTGAAAGAGTCAGTTCACCTCAAAACATAGTTACGCATTACCTAAAGGTCCTAGAAATTGATTCTCTATATGTCTGAATGATCTGTCTTGGCAGTCTAAAGAGGGTAATGTTCTACCTGAAGTGAATGGCCGTACCCATGCTTTCAACCCTGGTAAGAGCTTCCTCCCACCAGGGCAAGCACTGTATTCTCCTTGCTTCTATTTGTTCACCAGTCACTCACTGCTGAGCTAGGCAGAGTGGATAGTGTTGGACTTGGAAGCAGGATAGACTTGAGTTCAAATCTAACCTCAGGCACTTACTGGCTGTGTGACCCTAGCCAAGCCACTTAACTTCTGTCTGCATCAATATACTCCTGTGTAAAATGGGGGTAATAGTAGCATCTACCTTCCAGGGTTGCTGTGAAGATAAAAAGGAGGTGATATTTGTAAAAGGCTTTTCAAACCTCAAAGGGCTATATAAATGCTAGCTAGTATTACTATTAGCCTGGGTCTGTTGTTTAAAACTATTTTAAAACTGTATTTTAATGTAATTGTAACCGCATATTTTATTTTGTGCAAGCCTGGGTCAGTCCTGGGAACCCACAGTTTTGCTTTGAAGTAGCTCCAGAGAAGGCCATTGGAGCCATCATGGCATAGTGGGAAGAGCACTCAATTTGGAGTCAAAGGGAGCTTGGTAGAATACTGGTTTCGCTACATCCAATCCGTGTAATCCTTTGGCTCCTGGGCTACTGCCCGGTGAATATTGCCATAAACACATCAGACTCGGGAAGGTCTAACAGACTCTATCCCAGAACTTTCCAGCTTGATGGAAATTTTTTTAGCTTGATACTGAGACTTCTGGAAGGGAAAACCTGGAATAGATTCCATTCTACAAGTTAGGCAAATAAAGGGAGGTGGGCAGGGCAAGCAGGTGCATTTGATTTCTAGATACATATTCATCTACCCCACCCCACCCTACCCAATTCCTCCTGGGCTCTACTGGACAATTAGAAAGGATAGTATAGACAGAGACTACAGAAAGTTGACTGATGTGTTGGGGAGGTTTAACTACCAGAGCTACCTGGACACTGTGCATCTTCTTACCACCTGCTAAGGTGGGGGGGTGAAGGGGGCATGACTTTAGGCCCCACTAATTCCCACCTTAATAAGAGGGTGCTTGCCAAGATCATACAAATGGGAAAAGGACCCATGTATACAAAAATATTTATAGCAGCTCTTTGTGGTGGCAAAAAATTGGAAATTGAGAGGATGCCCATCAATTGGGGAATGGCTGAACAAGTTGTGGTATATGAATGTAATGGAATACTATTGTGCTATAAGAAATGCTGAACAGGCTGACTTCAGAAAAACCTGGAAAGACTTGTATGGACTGATGCTGAGTGAAGTGAGCAGAACCAGGAGAACGTTGTACACAATAACAGCCATGTTGTGCGATGGCTAATCTTGAGAAACTTAACCCTTCCCAGCAATACAAGGATCTAAGACATCTCCAAAGGCCTCATGATGGAAAATTCTATCCACATCCAAAGAAAGAACTATGGAGTTTGAATGCAGATTGAAGCATACTATTTGCTATTTTTTTCCCTTCTGTTGAGTTTTGTTTCCTCTTTCTGGTGGTTCCTCCTATTGGTTCTAATTCTTCCTTACAACATGAGTAATGTGAAAATATGTTTAATAAGAATGTATAGGGGCAGCTAGGTGGCGCAGTGGATAGAGCACCAGCCCTGAAGTTAGGAGGACCTGAGTTCAAATCCGGCCTCAGACCAAACACTAGCTGTGTGACCCTGGGCAAGTCACTTAACCCCGATTGCCTCACCAAAAAAAAAAAAAAGAATGTATAGCCTATATCAGATTGTGCACCATCTTGGGGAGAGTGGTGGGGAGGAAGGGGGAGAAAAATTTTAAACTCAAAAGCATATGAAAGTGATTGTTGATAAATCAAAATAAATTAATTAAAAATAAAAAAGAGAGTGCTTGCCACTCTCCCCACTCTGCTTCCTGCTCAATTTGGTGAGAAAAACAGAAGCAGCAATATGAAGCCGGCTTTAGCAGTGAGCCCAAAGTGGACACTGCTTAGAACATGTATTTACATCCAGACCGCACCCCTTTGCACTCTTATTTTTGTCTATGTGTCTAAGAAATGCAAAATCTGATGATTACCTAAATTCTAGTTATGTGCTTAATACTGGAATGGATAGTTAATTCAACAAGCATTTATTAATCACTTATGCTGTATGAGGCACTGTGCTAAATGCTGAGGATACAGAAAAAGGCAAAAACAGTCTGCCCTTAAGAAGCTCACGTTCAAATGGAGACGACCCTGTGCAAACACCTGTGTACATAGGAGATAC